CTTGAGGCTCTGTCTCAAAAAAAAAAAAAAAAAAAAAAGAATATTTACTGAGCTCCCACTGGGGTGACCGGACAAGTACTAGAGATACCACAGAGGTCTACTGAAAGAAAGGGCAGGTGTAGCCCTGTGCACTCAAGGAGATTGTATTCCAGTAGGAGGACAAACACCAAAAAGTAAACAAAGACATAAAATGCTTCCCCCATGAGATACATCTGTTAAGAAGAAAACAAACAAGGGACTGAGAAAGAGGCTAGTGGTAGTGGTGGATAAGAAGGAACACAGAGATCTTGGGGAAAGTAGAAGGAAATGTGAAGGAGATTCCAAAATGGAAGAGGCTAAGGACCTGTTTCTCTAGGATTAAGGCAGTGGGAACTGGTCCAGCTACTGTTCTTAACACCTGCACTTTCTAGCCTTAACTCATTCCCCAGATTGTTCCCCCACCCCACCCCTTCATTGGCTTAATGATTCACTTTCAACCTTTCCATAGCTTCCGGTATGGCAAGAAGGGGCAAAGGTAGAGCCCTGGAGCTCTGAAGGTAGCAGAAATGGGGATGGGACTGGTTGGGAAGGAATGGAGACTGCTCTGGGCTCTCTGGGTCTTGTCCTTGTCCCCTTCTAGTCTTGCCACAAAGAAAGATCTCTCCCTGCTGGAAGGATGGGGAGGATAACTAAACCCAGCTGGAGGCCCAGATTCCAGATGTGGGAGGTTGTGGCGAAACAATATCCCAAGATATCCCCTTCATTTCCCTTCCCCTGCCTAATGCCCTGGAAAAATTTTCCATCATAAACAAGTTGTGCATTCCTGACCTTGGGTATCTCCCCCTCTCTGCCACCAAGCAGTTTTCTTTCATCATTACCATCTCCCCTTACTCCCAACTTACATCAGTGTGAGTGTGAGGATCCATCCACGTGTGTAAGCAGTCATGGATTTAGCTGACCATAGTGTAGGGTGCAAGTTGCTTTAGAGTAAAGGTGCAGGTTCCCCAGGCTTGGGTGTGAATTTAAGGATGATGGCAGGTATGAAAGACAGGCATGGAGAAGTGACATACCTTTGTTTGTGGAAGAGGTATGTTTTATAACTGCTGGGAAGAGATGTGTACTGTAGAAGGGGTCTTGTGTATTTAGACAGGAGTAGTGGGTGTAAAATAGAGTGGCATACAGGCTTAGGAAGTAATTGTATATGCAGTAACAATGTTGGCTTGGCGCCTGGGGCTCAAGTGGCTAAGG